CCACCCCAGCTTAAGTACCCCCTCCTTTCTTGGAATTTCCAGTGTTTCTTACTGTCAGCATAATTTATTCTGGCACTTAACTATGTAACTTTCTTGCACTGTTGTTGAAACATTTCACATGTTGATATTTTCTCTGACTGGACTGAGAGGCCCATTTAGGGTAAAGGCTGCCACATACCTTCATGGATCCCCATGGCACCCAGTTAATCAATGTGGGACACAGCAGAGGTGGGCAGTGGGTTGCTTGGCTACAGACCTATCCCCAGAGGTACTCCATTTTCCTAACCACAGATAGGGACAGTAAAAAAGAGGTTTCAGGGCCCTCCCTGGTGGTGCAGCGGGTTAAAGCACTGCACTGAGAAGCTAAAGCCACTTCAGCATGAGTTCGATTCCCGCCTGCCACATGGCGTGGCAGACCTCTCCTGACCCGCCTGCTGCTCCCCTCAGCAGTATACTTCGTAGATCTGCCTGTTCTGCCCCCCACTCTGTCCCTGTGAAGCCTCTCACCGCCCCCGAGCCTCTGACCTGTACCCCAGTTCTGTATTTACAATAAATAAATCTTTTAAAAAAAAAAAAAAAGAGGTTTCAGATAGAGGAGCATTATCTCCACGACTCTCCCCAAAGAATATATGCCAGATACCTCCTGGTCATAAAAATTTCAGAATGGGCTCTCCCTGGTGGCGCAGCGGATTAAAGCATGGCATTATGAAGCTCTCCAAAGCCACTACAGTGCAAGTTCAATCCCCGACCAGGGAACTGACCCACATGGCATGGCAGACCTCTCCTCACCCGCCCACAGCTACCTTCAGCCAGTGTACTTTGTCAGTCTGCCTGTTCTGCTCCCAGAACAGTCTGCCTGTTCTGTGTCTGGTGAATCTTCTCACCCACCATACCCCAGTTCTGTAAGCATAAATAAATAAATCTTTAAAAAAAAAAAATTTCAGGCCTAGGAAAACCACATTAGTTAGGTTTATGATCTAATCTCATTTTGGGTGTCTAATGTCTTGAAGCTGGAGATGTCTCCTTACTTTTAACTTGAGCGATGTAGGTTTAAACACATGTCTGCCTACAGCCAAACCCCTATCTGTGGGTACACCAGCCCTCAAGTGATAAACGATATCACCAGGTACACAAGAAAGGCCAACAGAGGTGGTGGATCACGGTTGGGGCTTGAAAATATTTTCAAAAATATTTCCTTTAGAAAGAAATACTGAGGGCCCTCCCTGGTGGCTCAGTGGGCTAAAGCACAGCACTAAGAAGCTTAAGCCACTTCTGCGTGAGTTCGATCCCCGCCTGCCCCAGAGGTGACCCATATGGTGCAGCAGACCTCTCCTGACACGCCTGCTGCTCCCCTCAGCAGTGTACTTTGTCAGTCAGCCTGTTCTGCTCCCCACTGTGTCTTTGGTGAATCCTTTCACCCTCTGCATCTCTGGTCTGTACCCGAGTTCTGTATGAATAAATAAATAAATCTTTAAAAAAATACTAAAGAATAAAAATCTGAACAAAGAGTACCCAAGAATTGTCTGTGCTATTTTTGCAGCTGTTTTGTAAGCCTGAAATTATCTCAAAATACTAAATAAAAAATTTAAAGCAGAAATAACAAAAAATTCATCTCCTGAGCCTTTCAACAGAATTAACAATTTTCCCATTTCCCATTCTTTTAAGAACTATAATAGTGAACAATGAGATATCACATCAAACCACTGAGAATGGCACACATTAACAAAATTGGAGAGGATGTGGAGAAAAAGGAACTCTTACAATGCTGGTGGCAGTGCAGACTGGTCCAGCCACTGGGGAAAGCTGTGTGGAGGCTCCACAAGTTACTAAACATGTAGCTACCATGTGAACCAGCAGTTCCACTCCTAGGAATAGAATCAGAGGATGCAACACTAATTCAAAATGAAACCTGAACTCTTGTTTACTGCAGCACTATTTACAATAGCTAAGATATGGAAACAACCTAAATGCCCCAAAACTGATGACGGGAACAAGAAGATGGGGTGGATATACAAAATCGAATGTTTTTTTTTTAAAGACTTATTTATTTATGCACACAGAGCTGGGGTACTGGGCAGAGGTGCAAGGGTGGTGAGAGGATTCACCAGAGACAGGGTGGGGAGCAGAACAGGCAGACTGACAAAGTACACTGCTGAGGGGAGCAGCGGACAGGTCAGGAGAGGTCTGCTGCACCATGTGGTCACCTCTGCGGTGGGGTTGGAACTCATGCTGGATTGGCGTTAGCTTCTCAGTGTTGTGCTTTAATCCACTGCACCACCAGGGAGGGCCCCAAAATCCAAAGCTTTTTAGTAATCAAAAAAGATAAACTCGTGCCATTTGAACAACATGGATGGAGCTTTGGGGGGATTATGCTCAGTGACATAAGTCAGAATGAAAAAGAAAAAAATATTGGCTAGTTTCACTTATAGAAGGAACATAGTGGAGCCAAATAAGGGATGGCGGGGGGGCGGGGCGGAGACAAAACTAGCAGGCAACTATAAATCAGAGACACTCAGAAAGGGAGGGGTGGGAGAGGAATTTAAAACAAGGAAGGGCCGGGAAGAGCACGAGAGACTGGTGAGGGTTCACAGGTAACTTGGTGGTGGGAATTTTATGGGAATTATACCTGAGAGGGGAAAGCAAACAGTACAGACATGAATGATGATGTAAAATATATCTATATATATATATATAGAAATTAAAAAAAAAAGAATTACAGTTGTGAGTATTTCCACTTCCCTTATTAGACAAGGAGTATAAAATGGAAAATGAAAGTACTCAGAGTCAGAGACCTTTAAACATTTCATAATATGTAATAATCATATTTTAGAATATTAAATTCAACGGTTAATATTAAAAGCAAGGGGTTTTAATGTTTTGTGATGTAGAGCAAGATATTTAACCTTTCTAGGTTACAGTTTCCTTATCTTTAAAATGGAATAAAAAATTCATTGTCAAGAAGGTTAAATTAAAAAATAAGTATTAAATAATTAATGATTCTTAGTCCACCGTTGCTGCCATGAACAACAATTCCAAATGTTTAAAAAACCCAACATCTAGTCATTTTGTGTCCTCCACACCTGCAAAAAAAGTATCGGGCCCTTAGCAGATGCCTAGTAAATGGTCACTTAAGAAGCCAGAAGGGAGGGAATCAATGCTGGCGCTGGACGGCACTTCTCCAGTTGAACCCCAAAGCCCAGAGCAGCTCTTGCTTTTGCTGTTTCTTTTGAGCCACCTCAGGCCCCTTAACTTCATCTGGGTTCTGCTTTCCTCATCTGTGAAATGGGTTGGTTTTCCCTGCAACCAGAAAGGAGTAGCAAATGAGAGGAGTCTACAGCCCATAGGATGTATGTAGCCCATGGAGCTGCCTCACAGAAACCAAAGTGACTGTGCACTAGAGGGACCTGAGTACCTCTGCCTTTCTGTGGCTCTATCTCACCCAACAACATCATGAAGATGGTTGAGAGGACAGAAGAAGAAATGGGTTGGAATAAGCTTTTCGATTACTCATGCAGTATGCTCCAGAGTTATTCTAGCAACTCCTCTGGATTCTGCAATCTGCCGAGTTGTCAGTGTGAGAGAAAGTTATGTGTCAAGTCAGCATTTGTATTTTACATCATTACATGAACAAGTGAAAACGATTCTGTATTCTTTAAGAAAGAAAGAAAGTGCCCAGTTGATGGAGGATTGGAAAGATGGGTTGAATGTCTGCCACACCTGGAGGGGTCCATCTCTTATAGGCACCCCACTTCCCAAAGGGGTCCCCAGCCTCCAATACATTCAGGAGCGTGATTTAGGGTGCATGTCTCCTCATGCCTCTGTACGGCCGAAGGAGAAACCACTACCCCAGGGCTGTCCAGAGGCTGCGTCCAGAGTGCAGGACAGGGTTTCTTAAGGCCCCAGAACGCACAATAGCGTTGCTCCAGGAAGCTGCAACCTGAGTGTGGTCATCACAGCTCTTTCCTTTTCTGGTCCTCACTGGCCACCATCTAGTGGAGGGGTCTCACGGCAGACCCCAAAATGCCCACCCTCAGTGTCCTGAAAAGGACTGAGGAGCTACTCAGCTCCCCAGACTCAGCCTTCAGCCCCTCCTCTCCTGTGCGCACCCTGCAGCCTCTCCTCCAGCCAAACTCTCAGGCCGGGTCCCTGGCACCCGGGAGGGTGGGCCCTTGTTTTTCTTTCTTTCTGAAGGGCTGGTAGATATTTTGGCTAAAGCATGTACAGTGCAGTTTGCTCCAGTGCTTCCTAACAGGCCAGCTGCACCTAGCTCTGGCTCCCCACTCCTGCTAGTCTAGCCCACCCTGGATCTGCTCTGCATACTGCAAAAGGAGAAAGAGTGAATGTGAAAAGCCAAGGCAAAGATGGCTGCAGGGTGATACACCAGGCAGCAGTCAGGAGAGCAACCAGGGAAGACTGGTGCTTGGCAGTCCTGTCATTTCCACACTTCATTGTCGCTATGGCCAGCCTGCGGTGTCACAGGGACAGAGCCAGACAGCTAGGCCAGAGAAGCAGAGGAAGAAGAGTGAAGAAATTAGGGAGAGGAAGGCAGGGGTGGTGGTGGTGTAAGAAAGGAAACTTGTGAGAGAAATAGAGATGGAAGTAGTGAGAGTGTGAGCTAGAAAAGATGCAAAAGAGAAGTGGAGAGAAGGACTAGGTGAGAACAGAGACTGAGAAGACTCCAAAAGGCCTCATCCCTCCCTCTTGGCTGAAGTGTCACCGGTTATCTCAGACCGGGGATCAGTCCTACATCCAGCGTTTCTCCAGGGCCCGAGTCCCCCTCTGCACTCCCTGTGGCCCCCGAGGTGGAGCCCCTCCGGGGCCAACTCCTGCTTCACCCAGGGCTGGTCCGCCGCCACTCACCCCAAATGCAGAAGGGAGGGAGGGAACTAGCGAGCGAGGGAGCGAGGGAGGGGCTGCCGGTAGGAGGCAACCATGTGGTTCCAGCTCACTCTATTTTTTTCCCCCTCTCTCTTTCTTCACTCCTTTTTCTTTCCAAACAGGGAAAAGTGTTCCACGAAGCGGTAGAGCCTTTTCACCTCGCCTTCCCTCCCGGACCCTGGTCCCCGCTCCCGTCTGGGAGCCAGCTGTTCGGGAGAGCACTGGAAGCCCCTCTGCGCCCGGGGACTCGGGGCGCCAGGACCCGGAGCGGGGCGCGGGGCCGTCTCCCGCGCCCGCACATGGCTGTGACCACCCCGCGCGCACACCGAGGCACAGCGCCCAGCTAGCCGAAGGTCCGTCGGCTGCGCCCCGCCGCCTCGGAGCCAGGCAGCCGCTGAGCGGGGAAGTGCCCGCGCCCGAGGATCGGGATGTCCCTCCTCCTCCTCCTCTGGCTAGGTGAGTGACCCCGGCAGGGCGGAGATCGCGTGGCCCCAGGCGAACGCAGACCTGCGTCCCGGCCACCACGCTGCGTCTGAACGGTCGCTCCCCCCCCCCCCCAGCCCGGAGTGCGCCGGACTCCTGTGTCCCTGCCTCCCGGCTCGGGAGGAACACATCTGGCGGCAGAGGGCCGCCCAGTCGGCCATGGAAAATATCTCACATCTGGGCCCTGGAGCAGACTTAGGGTTGGGGGTGTTTCCTGGTCGAGTTTGGCCGTGAACCCTTGGATGTGGAGGGTCCTCGGAGGGGGTGGTGTTTTGTTTCAAGAGTATCTAAGGGAAACTGGAGAATTGGGGGAGGGAAGGTTTATTCAGAAATTTTTGTGCCAGGTTTCTGAGGGTGGGGGGAGCTTTTTTGTTTCAAACAGGCGCCTCAGCGGCTCAGATTAGAAACAGATGTGTTAAAGGGTGAGAGGAAGGAATGAGGAAAGAGACAGGGAAAGGAAAGGAGAGGAGAAGAGGCAGAGTACAAGATTCGTGAAGGTGCAGATGTGAAAATGACCCCGGGAAGAAAAGGAGTAAGGGCTGGGGTGGAAGAGAAAACAGGTGAAGGAAATATGAAGCAGAGGAGCAAGACTGAGGGAACTGGCGTGTGAAGAAGACGGGAAAAGATGGAGTGAGAGCGAAGACCCAGAGTAGAAAGACAGCTTTTGTGGCAAAGGGAAGAGTCCTCCTGGGTGTCGCTTCTGGGTGTCACGTCTGACCCCCTCTGAGACCTATGCACAGATTCCTGGGCCAGGAATACGGGCTGGTACAGGTCAAGGATGTGTGCAGGCAAGACCTGACAGGAAGGGGCCTATGAGTACCTGATGCTCCAGGGCCAGAGAGCTGAGGTAAAAACAAGGTATGCACAGGGAAGCATGTCCAGTTGGAGTTAGGACCAAAAGTTAGCTGAGGCCTGGAAACCAAAGAGCCAGCTGGTGTGGTGGCATGAGCAAAGCCCCGGTTTTGAACTGACTAGCTGAATGACCTTGGACAATTTAGTCACCACTCACTACACTTTTGGTTTCTGGAGCTCCAAAACTAGATGGTTCTAAGTTCCTCCTAGCTCTGTCAGCCCAGAATACCAGGAGTTCAATGGGAACTGATGGCTAGAAAAACCCCAAGTGAGAGTTAGGAGGAGCTAAAAACAAAAAACAAAAAACACCCCTGAAATAGATGTCTAGAGCATTCTCTTGCTTTCTCTGGCCCTCTCGCCTTAACCACAGTCTAGGCCATACACACGCCTACCTGGGATAACCTTACAGCAGTAATTACCCAAGTTAGAGTAGTTATAGAGGTGACCAAAGTTATTGCTCAAGTAGGGCATGCAGGTTGCCACTACTTTCTAATCTCTTTTACTTGTTGGCACAGTATTGCAATACTATTCCTCTGCACAGCTGATCTATCCCAATGACACCTTTGTCACCTTCATTGGCCTCTACCCCTAAGCTACCAATTACAGGATGTTTAGTGGACTCATACTTTAGAGTTGTCTTATTAAAAACAGCTAAATTCATTAAGTATTTATTATGAGAGTACTTTATATGTCCTATCTTGTTCACTCATTTATTCTTCATGCCAACCCTATCAGCGACCTGTTATTATCCTATTTTATAGATGATGAAATCAAGGTGTAAAGAGGTCAGATTACAAGCTCATCATTAGCAGGGTTGATATTTGAATGGTGGAGATTGTTTGCTGAACCACCATGCTGTACAGCTTTCCATCATTACAGAAGGACTCTTAAGCTTGTTCTCCTAGTGAAGTCCAGTTTAGTCCTCTTCATCTGGCATGAGATGTTAGCATAATTTGGATCTAGAGGAAGGGTCTGGGGAAAAGAAACAAAACTAAGAATGTTTGAGTACCAGCTCTATATCAGCACTGTTTGGACACAGTTTCTGAAAAGTGGAAAGTGATTTTGTTCCCAGTGGTCATCTGAAATCAGTGGGTGTTGATGATGGTCAGTTTCTTAGTTCATAAAAAAGAACTGACAAGACCTAGCATTGATTTACTGGTCTTTATTGAGTGCCTCTGGTCAGAAAAAATTAATCTGTTGAGGTAGTGCTCTGTTAGAAAACCTAAAAGTGACCTCTCATGATTTCTTTCTTCATTCTGTCTTTATAATATTGTTACAAAGGAAAGGCCACATAGAGGAGAAGAGCAGGATTACTGACTTAGAATTCAGCGCAACTGGGTGTTCAGCATTCACACCTACTATTAAGCTTTTGCCACATCTATCTTTGTCAGACATACCCAGACTCATGACATCCCAGTTCTCAGTTGATAAAACTGTTCAAGTATAAAGTCACAGAGGAGTGATACTGAAGGGTCAAGACAAGAGACAAGGCAGGAGACCTGGGATGAGACTGGTGACCCAGAGACTGGCATCCAAGGGAACAACACTGAAGGGCCCCCTCTATGACTGACATCCCTGCATGGGTCAGACACACAAAGGGCAATCTCTTCTGCGCTTATATTACCTTTATTTGCTGAGTGGTTTTGAGCTAAGGTTTTGAGCCTGGGCACTCTTCTCAAAGCCAGAGAGAAAACCTTCAGTGTTGCCTGAATCCAAAAATCATCTACTGGTTCCTGAAAGGCACGGTTCCAAGACTGTTTCTAATAACCGCTAGCATGATTTCTGGCCTCTTGCTAGAGAACCCACAGTGTGTAAGGAGGGTCTGGTGAGATACGAGTTCATAGTCTGAACAAGAAAGAACAGTTGACTCCTTGCTTTCTGGACCTGCCAGTGAGTGAAGCTATTCCTCTCTGAAATGAATAACCATGTGATGCCCTGAGCCCATGGAGGGGAGCAAAGGGAGGGTTCATGAGCTTCCCCAGCCCCTTCTCAAACCATTGCCCTTTCCTTCTTCCCTTGATGCTCAGGTCCTCATGATCCCACTTGAACTTCCTTCTGGGCTTCTGTACTGGTCCGAGCTCTCTTGCTTTGCCATCTTACACAAACTGCAGCCAGAGTCATCTTGGAGGCAGCCAGTATCATGCAAAGAATTTGAATTTAGGAATCTGACAAGTTCTCGGGATTCTTTTTCTGATTCCCTTGCCTGTAAAATGGGGGTGGGGATCTTAAATTCAAAATCTCTATAATTCCATGATTTTATTCCCATAGTAGTCTATCCATGGGTGCAGATACTTCATTCACATATTAGAGATTTGGCACACTATCATTCAATATTCCTCCTCCAGGGAACCTGGATTACTTGCTGTGCCCTAAACATGCCCCGTGCTTCTTCCTGATTCTGTGCTTTCATTTGTAATAGTTCTTCCACCAAAATGCCCTCTTCCTCTCTACCCTGCATATCAAAATCTTCTTCAGCTTCCAAGTCTCGCCACAAATACCACTTCTTTCATGTGTCCATCCATGGGTCCACCAACAGAATGTACTTTCTTTCTTGCCTTTGGATGCCAGAAGTTTTCCTCTTAAGATACTTTGTTTTATGGTGATCTGAATCCCAATTGACGTACCAAAACCCATGTAGACAGGGACCGGGTCTCACTTACCTGTGTGTCACCTTCAGTGACCAGCATCCACAAAAAGCTTTTGAACTATTTGTTCAGATAATTAGATTTTTGAAACATTTGGAGCATTTACAGTTAAGGGGTGAAAGGTTTTGAGGATTGTTACTTTTTGACTGTGAGCCAACAAAATTATGAGGACCCCACTTTTGGCTCAGCTCACTTGTGTTTCCTTGTCCACTAATGCAAATAGAACCAGTACCGGTTTTTAAAAATTACATATAAAACATGGCAGGGCTAGGTAATGGACTTGTTACACAAACTGACTTTGTTATATCAGATGTGTGCCATAACTATACATTTCTTCATCCAAACTTTGACCAGGATGAGGGAAGAACTGTGTTTCCCCAAAAAATAATGTTGAGGAAGACTTGGGTGCATGGTCCATTGGTCTGTAGTATAATGACAGGTCTCAGTAGGATTCCATGTCCTCCTCTCATTTTCCCATGTTAATGATGATGGCCATAATAATGATACATTCCCAGCAGGCTTGTATCTGTCTCATCTTATTCCTGTCTTGTGCTCAGCTGGGCAATGATACGTGAGTATATTTCATGAGCATCCCTAATAATAGTGAACTAGACATTTTTAAAAGGTAGAATCAAAAACTGCCATAACTGGGAAAAGCTAAGAGACTTTCTAAATTAATGGTGCTTAAATTTTGAGTCACACTTTCTTCTGAGAAGCTGATGAAAATTATGAATCCACTAATTAGAAAGTGACACATATGTATCAAAATTTGTCTTTTAACTTCTAAAGTCTATATAGTTTATTTCCTCTCTTGGAACCCATTTAACCTTGATCTATACATACTCTTTCTTTTATGATGGAGAAGGAACAAAAGTTCAGAGAGATCTGACTAAAATTAAATAGCTAGCTGAGCAGGGGACCAAGACTAGAACCCTAATTCCATGATCTGTCTTTATCACACAGTCTTGAACTGGAAAATATCTCTCCTTGTTTTGAGCTCATGGAGTTAAGCTCCTAGATCATATGAGCTCAATGCTGAATAATTGGCATTGGTTTTCATGTTGAGAAATTGCCTGAAAAATAGGGCAGATGTCATAACACTTCAATTTAGCCATCATAACTGGCAATCCTGGAAACTTCTACTGTGCTATGTATAATGCCTGGTATCTGTGACATGTATAATGTCTGGTATGTGCAGGAAAAAAGGATTATACCCCAAATCCTAAATATTTGAGTGTGTGCGTACAAAGAGTAGGATGTGAAATCAGTAGCTTCGAATTTTACTGGATTATACTGGTTAAGTCAAACCATAATGAGCTTCAGTTTCTTTCTCTGCAAAATGAGGTTATTAGACTAAAGTTATCTTTTTTAAAGATTTATGTTTATTTATGTATGCACACAAGAACTGAGGTATAGGCCAGAGATCCAGTGGGTGGAGGTGGGAGTGAGAGGATTCAGCAGAGACAGAGAGAGAAA